ACACCACCATAATGTCGCCCCCCCCCCCAGTGGCACAGCGGCATGTCTGCGGACTTACAATGCTATAAACCGTGTTTCAATACCCGTGGAGGCAGAGCACAGGTAGTCCATTGTGCAGCTTTGTGCTTAACTTCAAACAACAACAACGTATTAGATGGAGTATACATATTTAACACGGTACAATTATTAGACAAAATATTTCTATGTAACATTCAACATTTATTGGATAGTGCATCCCTAACATGGCACATATATAAGATAGAGCACCTTTATCTAACATGAAACAATTACTGGATAGGAAATCCTTATCAAACCCAGTACACTTACAGGATGAAGTATTCCTAGCTAACATGATACAGCTCCTCATCAATTTTCTTCATGAGTATTCGTGTGAGACAAACCTAGAACTAGAAATGAAAATTGATATGAAACTGTGATATAATAACTAAGAAACAAATCTGATACCATAACAATTATTTACTAAAATATATGCTTCAATTCAAAATTATTATTTGCTGGGGAACGAATATCAATTACTAAAAATATCATTTAATTTCCAGCCCTGACTTTACTATGGTAAAGTACAAACCTCATTCCCAAACCTAACAACCCACGACTCACCTGAGTAGTCGAAACATGTTCTGATTGGGGGGTTTATACATCTATAATCAGGTTTTCGATACCTGCGGTGTGTACACAGGAGTATGTCTGTGAACTTACAACGCTAGAATCCGGGTTTCGATACCCGTGGTGGGCAGAGTACAGATAGCCCATTGTGTTGCTTTGTGCTTAATTACAAACGAACAAACAATTAACTAAAAACCTGACATAAGGAAGCCAGTCAGCAGATGAAGTCAAAAGAAGGGCTTTGTACATTAGGGTACATTTACTGTATAGGCGATCCCAACCCAAGTTTCTGGTTAGATCACCCTTTTTTAACACAGTACACTTTATGGACAGAGTATCTGTGCGTAACACGATACACTTATTAGATAGAGCCTCTTTGTATAACATGGTACAATTATCGGATAGGCTATCCCTATCTAACATAATACACTTAATGGATAGTGTATCCCTAACTAACACGGTATACTCACTGGATAATATAGCCCTAATCTAACATAGTACACATATTGGATAGACTATGCCCATCTAAAGTGATGTCCTTATCGTACATAATGAAACTATTTAACTTTGTGGTCTCTGATCTTGCTGTTTAGTATAGCTGTTGTAATAGGTGCTGTTCAAGTTGAAAATATTATATTAGAGTCATTTTCCTATCGATTGGGATAATGTTGTATGTGGCGTTTCTCCTAGAAAGTTTAATACATAGTAGTTAAAGTTAGAATGAGTTTTATCTGTAGAAAACTCTGCAACACAGAAGCACAATATTTAGTTTACGTACATAAGGAAGTAAGGCATGTTTTCCACCTTAGAAAATGTTCAACTTTGCTACTATCATTTTTATTAGTGCGTTCATCGTGATAATGGTGTTGAAGTTTATGGCATGTCACACCTCCTCGTTAATCTTCTTCAGTTGATAAATGGGTTTGAATAAATACACCCTCATAATAATGTTAATAATAATAATACAAAACATAAGCAACAGTCAGCAGAGATGAGGTCAGAGTATCATGTTGGCCAAGTATGATGGAAATGTCGATAAAGAACTCAACACGTCCAACATGCAAATAACAATCATTTATAGTTTTTCGAAATTGTTTTTTACTAATAACAATGTATCTAGAATAACTCTTGATAAGTTGTTATTAACGTGCCATGTATCTAAGCAAGTTCCCATAGAATAACTCTTGACAAGTTGTCATTAACGTGCCATGTATCTAAGCAAGTTCCCATAACAAATTCAGGCTTGGTGTTTATGGGATATCTATAATTGTTCATGTTCGTTCACAAAGTTATCTTTCTAGTATCAGATTTGCTTCTTAATTAATATTTCACATTTTCTTATCTAATTTAAGTTCTAGTTCCAAGTTTGTATCCTACAGACATTAATCTCACTTTGAAGTTTTTTTTTTCCCCTACCAAATAGAAACCTGGTTTTGATACCCGTGGTGAGCAGAGCACAGATATCCCTTTTTTAAGCTTTGTGCTTAATAACAAAGAACAACAATTTACCAAGTATTAATAACATTTTTTTTCTTGGAAATATGCATCGGTGTTCCAGGTTTGTGAATTATTAAATAACCAATATCATTCAGATTTACTTTTAGCAAACACCGATTTTCGTATGAAGATTTTCTCAATGCATAGAACATTTTGCGGTTTGAGCTTCATTTCCTAATAAATAGCAATGATAAACTAAAGTTTGGTTCTTAGCTAATATTCTCTAATTTTTCAGTTTAATCTCTCTGTAAGTTTTCATAGCAAATTAGGGTTTGTTTCTTATCCAATGGCCATCACAGTGATGGTTGTTTATTAGCAAGTAACTATCAAAGTTTCAAATGTGTTTATGGCATATATCTTTATATCGTTTAAGATTTACCTACGAAGATTTTATCTTCTAGAATTACTAATGGCTTCGGCCCTTTGTTTATGAAACACATTTTTGTAAGTTATTTATTCACCACATTCCTTGTGATTCCCTAAAATGAAAGATACAAAAAAAAAGACAAAATTTCAAACAAGATTAGCATTGGTATTGCAATTATTTCTACTAGCAGAAATACCCGCCCTCCGGATAGGTATAACTGCTAGTTTCTGCGGAAGGCTATTGGGCCTGCGGCCTTTTCTGGAATTGTCTGACAGTTCTACAACAATGTACTCATACTTGACATTCAATAATGTTCACCATCCATGAGAAAAAGGATTTTATTGAAATTTTAGTTTAAAATGAGCTATCATCACAGCATTACATCACAGAGTAGATTTTATTGAAATATATCTTTGTAAACGCATTTATCAATGAAAGTGCCTTGCTTTTCTGTTGCAACACTCATGAGATTTTCACTAAAGAAAAACAAATCATTTGTTTACGTTTGTTTTTTGATTGTTTTATAGTTGAAGCTTACTTCCTATTTGTAATTTTTATTGGTTAAATCTGAAACTTATCATTTTTATGGAATTTTTAATTGTTTTATTTATTGCTCAGCCCTGTATTGGTTTTCTTAATCTCATATATCATTTAATGATGTTTTGTTATATCTGATAGTCTTCACTTAAATTACTTCGTGTGTGTTTTGAGTTAGAATAATTAGAACAATGGGCACCTGCAGGAACGGATTGAGACAGTAATAGGTTGCGCCTTTGAGATCATGCGCGCGCAACAGGTCTAAAGATACTTCTAGTTTTGTTAAATTCTGCGTTAGTTTTTATAGCTACAGGACTATATAACTTTAAATTCGGTTATTATTATTTCACTAATTGTTTTTCGTATTGTATTTGAAATATTTCATTCGTGTATTATGTTCTTTTCTTCATTTGACATCTCGTCCACCCGTTTCAATTTCTTAGCGGAAGCTTGCGCATGCGCCTAAGGTATAAGTTATGACTAGCTAGCTGATCCTGCAGTTACACCAAAGGTAAGCCTACATTGAAAGACGGGTGTTGAAGATATGATGGTTTTAATGAATAAATGACAGTTAATGATTAGGAAAAAATCGATTATTATCTACGGTA